TATCACAATATCAATTCATTAAAAGCTCACAACAATCCTAAATATAAGCTCTCCAAACAGAGCTTCAAAATACAAAAACAATACAAATAGAAAAAACCTAATAAAACTGAAAAGAGAAATAAGATGAATTCACCATTATACCTGGCGATGTCAAAAATAATCTCTCTCAATAATTGACAGAACACATAAGCAGAAAATCTATAGGGATAAGAATAATTGAGTAACACTATCATTCAACTTGACTTAATTGATATTTACAGAACACTCTAGCCAACAAAAGCAGAATACACTTTCTTTTCAAGTGCATAGAACATTTACCAAGATAAACCACATTCTGAGCAACAAAATAAGTTTTAGTAAATTTGAAAGAATTCAAATCATACAAAGTTCTTTCTCTCACTACAACAGAATTAAATTAGAAACCCAGGGCCGGCCGAGTGGCGCGTTGGTTAAGAGTTGGCTTGGGACACCAGCTCTGAGTGGCAGGGTCCCGGTTCGGATCCCATATGAGGGCCAGTGACGCTGCACCCTCTACAGCTAAGATGGTGAACAACAGCTTGACCTGGAGCTGGGCTGCCGTTGAGTCCCCAGCGGCGGCTTGGCTGCAGCCCCTGCTGCAGGGGGCTGCTGTAAGCTACCATGAGTGGCTGTCCAATGGCCAGTGAGCGAATGCCTCACCCAGGAAGAGCGCAATGATAATATCAACATGGGCCAGTGAAGTGACATCCTCCACAACTAGACTGAAGAACCAAAGCACAGCAACTTGTCTGTTCCCCTGCCCCAATTTCCCAACGCTATTCCCCTCCCCCAATCCCCCAATAAAATGTTTTTAAAAAAATTAGAAATCCATAATAGAGAGATATCTGGAAAATCCCCCAAATGTTTAGAAATTAAGCAACACACTCCTAAATAACACTTGGTTGAAGAAGAAGTCACAAAGGAAATTAGAAACTATTTTGAACTGAAAATGAAAATACAACATAAAATTTGTGGGATGTAGCTAAAGCAGTGCTTAGCAGAAAATTTATAGCATTGAATGTTATGTGAGGAAAGAACAAAGGTCTCAAATCAATATCTAAGTTTCAACCAAAAAAACCAGAGTAAAGGAAGGAAATAATAAGGATCAGAAATCAACAATGTAGAAAACAAAAAAGCAATAA